GTCGCTGTTGGGGTGGGGGGTGGGCTGACTTCCTGGCTGACCTTAGGCCAGCTCTTGCCCACTGTGGACCTGGGTGTTCTTCTGGTAGGGCAAGACTGTGCTTGCCAAGTTTCTTCCAGATAGTATATCCTTGACTCTGGCTGACCTCAAGATGTGGTTGCTCCACAGAGACCAAGTTTGGGCTCCCCTCTGAACCCAAGTTTCATGACACCTAGGCTGTCAGACAGCCCTTCTCCAACCCCACCAGGGGTGGGCCCTGATGCAGCCACAGCCCACTGCCTCCCTTCAGACAACGAGCTGGCCCCCAGTCTTCAACCAGGCAAGTTCTGACATCTTTCCCAATCAATTCTTGGGGTGCCAGGGGAAGGAGTCCTTGTCGCTGCAACTACCCCACCCACAGAATAACAAGCACCCTCATCTGTGGAAAGGACCAGTGCCCTAGGGAGCTAAGGCTGAAGGAGTCTGAGACAAAGCCCCCCCCCCCCATGCACAAAAGGAGCACTCTACCAGGAGTCCACAGTAGGAAGCAGTTACAGGTGGGGACTTTGGGGTTCCTGCACAGACCGGAAAAAACACAGGCGCCAAAGCCTTTCCACAGCTCAAGGTCAGCTGGGGCAGCCAGGCCCTCTCTCGACAGGCTCCCCATCTCCTTCCTCCCCACTTCCACACCGGGCTGAATAACTACAGAGGGGCAAACAACACCTCTGATTTATCATTCCCAAATCAAATTAGTCACTGGCATGTTTCCTAGCTAGCAACTTGAAGAAGACTCGAAGAGAAACCATCGGCTTCAGCTCTTCCTAGGACACCCACCCACGGTCCCCAAACCGTGGGTTTCTTTGGCCAAGTTTTTTTAAAATCCCAAGATCATCTCCAAGGGAAAGCCAGGCTCTCCAGACACCCCACAACCCAGACCTTATCTCCACCATGGCCCGCGCAGAGATGAACTTGCCCCGCATGCGCGTGCGGAACAGGGTCACGGGTGCGGCTTTGGGGACCTGCGCATAACAAGTGGACCCTCACCTGTCTCCAGTACCCGACCCAGATTTCGCTTTAGAGTTCTCACCCAATTCCTGGGGTGGCTTCCTTCTTTTTCCTGGGTCTAGAAGGAGCTCAAGGCCCCAAGGAGGGGGTGTTCCAAACCGAGCCCTTGACCCCCCAGCCCGTATTCCCATGTTCTGTCCAGAGCAGCGGGGCAGCGCCGCAGGCTCCGCGGCCAGGCGGAGACGCCCCGCCGAGTCCCCGTGCCCCTTCCCCCGATCCCGGCGCAGGCCGCGAACCACTCACAAACTCGAAGATGAAGAGCAGGTCGGGGAAGGTGGTGAGGACCGCGAAGCCGCTGGGCAAGCTGCTGCCGCCGGTCGCCGCTGCGGGGGCCATGCCGGCGCGTCAGCTTCGGGACTGGACGCGCGCTACTGGGGCCGGCTCCGCGCTAACCGCTCTCCTGCTCAGCGGAGCCCAATGACTGGGGCGCCCCCGCGCGCGCAGTTAAGAGCGTGGGAGCCCCAGCCCCGCCCTCCCCTCCCCTTTTCCTTCGCCCCTCCCGTCCTAGTTAGCAGGGCGTGACCCCCAGGGGTGGGGGGCAGGCGCCAGAGTTGGGGATCCGCCTAGAACCTCTTGGAGGGGGCCTACCCAGAAAGTAGGGGACCTATCCCTTCTCCAGGTCCCCTCTCCTGCAGAGGGCCAGGCAAAGTCCCCTTACCTAAGGAATCCCCACGGCTTTTGCATCCTGGCAGGGGATCACCACCCTTTCAGAATAATGAGCATTCATAACGGGGCCCCACTGGCGCCCCTCGGGTCACCGGTCCTTGAACTGTTCGTCAATTGGGTCTCTTCGTCATACTTGGGTTGGGTTAATGGGCACTTCATCTGCGCCCAGGCGCCTGGAGCGACGCGTGGCAGGCAGAGTCTGACTCCAAAGGACAGCGCTGAGACCTGTCATGGCCACTGACCCCTTCTCAATCCAGAGACCCGCTCTGAGAGGCTTGGATGCACATCCATTGCTGGTGGGATTGCAGAATGGTACGTCCACTGTGGAGAGCGGTGTGGCGCTTCCTCAAATAAATGTGAATAGAAACACCGCATGATCCTGCCATCTCTCTATTTGGTATATACTCTACTAAATCAAGAACAAAACATGAATAGACATATGCATGCCCCCCACGCTTACCGAAGCAATTTCTATAATAGCAGAAAGATGGAAACGACCAAAAACCCCACCTGAGTGGGATGGATGAATAAACCCCGGTCCAGATAATGGGATGGCATGCACCCCTGAGAAACTGATGAGACGGCAAACACCTCATGACGGGGACACAATGGGAAGGCCTGATGATCAGTAAAGTTAGCCAATCTCATAAAGAGAAGTGTTTCGTGGAACCATTATTATAAACCTGGCGGGGCAGGCGGGGGGGCAGGGGGAGACAGGAAAAAGTGTTTTCACACCAAAGGAAAAGATTTTGTAGATGATGAAGACTGTGATGAGACTGGGAGTTTGGGGAGAGGGAGAGGAAGGGGGAGGGCAGCAAGGGAAGACAGGAAGGTACAGGTGAGAACAAAGAAGGAGGAGGAGGAGGGGAAGAAGGAAGAAGCACATAGGTGGGGTTTTACTGGGCTCCCATCGTTCTTCTGATGAGAAAAGCTAGGCAACTCCATCCAGAGTGCATTTTCCTTTGCATGTGTTGTATTCCACAAGCAAAAGGGGAAAGCAACAAGAAGGAAAGATTTAAATAAGTAAATGTCATTGAAAAGAAGCAAGAAGAGTCACAGCCTTAACAGTGCTCCAGTGTCCTCCCCATCAGACCCAGACACTGGTCCCAGTGGTTGTAAAGGAGGAAAAGTAAGCTTGACACTGACCTCCCACGAGCTTGTTTCCAACAAACAAGCCAAGCAAGCGATGAGTGCTCTTCAAGTCTGTGTTGTGGGAAGGGGACTTGGGAGGAGGAAAAGGTTGGGGAAAAGGTTAAGTAGATGCCCCAGGCTGCACAGCAGCTGATCGGTGGAGCTTGAACTTGCATCTGAGTGCCACTGTGCTGATAAGTGCAAGTACTGATTAAGACACCGTTAGAGATGGGTAATTGCTACTCCAATGTTGAGTTGGGTTGCTAACCAAAAGGTCAGCAGTTTGAAACCACCAGACGCTCTGAGGGAGAACAATGAGGCTTTCTACTCTGCTAAGAGTTACAGCCTTAGAAATTCACAGAATGCTTCCACCTGCCCTCCAGAGTCCCTGTGAGTCAGCACGACTCCGTGGCAGTGAGTTTGATTTGGAGTTTGGTGCTGACCTGCACCTCCCAAAGCCAGTCTTCAAGCTCATCTCTGCTTGTGCATCATACACTTGCACTCTGAGACGTCTCTCCCCGATGCCAGGACTCCAGAGCTTTGCTCCTCTGGGAACTGGGAACCCTCAGGAAGTCAGTGGCCATCGCCGGCCTCGAATGGATGGGGAAGTGAGGCCCTCACCCAGGGGGTCGATATATTTGACAGTCACCTTAACTGTGGGTTTCCATCCGTGGCAAAGGGCCCTCTGTTGGTGGATGGATAGATGAATGGCATTCATGCTACTTGAGCCCAATGAGGGTAGAGATAACCCCCCTGAAGGCCTACTGAGTGCCCACGAGACCCCATTGAAGCACCCTGGGGTTTCAGGGAGGTGTTTGCCACCACACAGGTTCAGAATAGGGAGGTGGCGTGTGCAGGCAATCAGCAGCGCCACCATTTCAGCAGAGGGGTCTCTAGGTTCTAAGAGACATTCTCTGTACCCACCACCTCAGTGCCTGTTGGCATAAAATCCAGCAACTGGGAAGCTAGAAGTGGTGGCTGCTCTCCGAGGACTGGCCTTGGCGGAGTCGAGGAGACAGTGTGTCCTGCTGCCTCCAGCGACTGTGAGCCACAGCATTCGGTCGTTGTTGTTGTTTGCCTCTGGGAGTCAGGCGTGAGCAGCAGACTGCAAGGTTGGCTGTTCAAGCCCACCACTCTCTCTCTCCACAGGGCAAAGATGAGGCAGAGGTGGCTCCCATGAAGATTTGCAGGCTCTGAAGCGTGGCCTGGGTCCAGGGTTGCTCTGGGTGGGAATGGACTAGATAGCAGGGGTTTGGGCTTGGTGACTGTGTAAGTCTGGGTAGACTAGAGAGACAAATGCATAGATACTCATGTGTATAAGAAAAAGCTTTATATACAAGAGCAGTTGAGTATCAAGAAAACATCCCCACCCAGTCCAGATCAAATCCATAAGTCTGATACCAATCTATAAATTCCTCTTCAGACTCACACAACACATGCAATGATGCCAAATGCAGGAAGATCACAGGCCAGTGGGTGGAAGTCTTGTGGATCCAGTGGCGGTGGAAACATCGCAATGCTGGTAGGGGTCTCCACGTGGCTTCTTCAGCTCCAGGGCTATAGTGTAGCTCCATGTATCTTGTCTGCAGGAATGTCTCACAGGGAGTGAGTGAGTGAGTGTCCCGCCTCCAGGGAGCTATTTATCTCCCTAGCACTGCCAAATGAGGTCATCAAGCTGCGACCTGATTGACAGGCTAAACTCCACCCCTTTGCTTTTAATCTCAAATTGACAACAGATGATGTAATTACCCTGTTTCCCCCAAAATAAGACAGTGTCTTCTATTAATTTTTGCTCCCAAAGATGCACTAGGTCTTATTTTCAGGGGATGTCTTATTTTTCCATGAAGAAGAATACGGTACACATTTATTGTTTATTGTTTTATTAAAAGAGACCTCACACTTCTTGTCTGCTCTGGCTGCACTGCAGCCAACAATGAGCTACATGGCGGCGCCTGCTGCTACGGTCAAGAGTCCAGAGTTACGGTAGCTTCGGGAGGGGGGGGCCTTATTTCAGCAAGAGGCAAAACTGTAAGTAGGCCTTATTTAGGGGGGGTGTCTTACTTTCAGGGAAACAGGGTACCACAGTGACCTTCTAGTTCACTTGACACTGTGCCACCCCCTGGGAAAGTCGTCACTGAGCTTGCAGACTCCGAGCACTCTGTGGGACTTCCCTGTCATGGCAGGCCAGTGTCGTAGTGGGGGGGGGTGTCACTTGGGCCCATCCTTCTACAGCAAGGCTGGGCACGGGCAGGTCCCATTGCTGAGCACCTTGGGTGTCCAGCACTTGAGCCCAGCCTGAAGATTGAACCATCGCTGAATAGAGACCCCTGCTCTCCTTCCCCCCAGTCAGTAGGAAGGACATGATTCCTGTCCTTTCAGGAGACAAGTATCAGCCAAACACCACATACTTAATGTCTGATTACCTACCATGTTTGGTACTAAAGAGTCCCTGGAGCTTCAAGAGCATCTGTCTGTGCAACTTGGCCTGCCCCCGAGGTCAGGGAGCACCCGGCAAGAATGAGGCGAGGGAGCAATGCAGTCTCAGCAGACTGGGGGCTGGATCACCTGCTCCCATGTTAGGTGCCACCCTCTGAGGTTTCACGGCCAAGGTCGCCAGATAGTCTTTGCCACACACCAGGCAGGCACGAGAGCCAGCTGGCCCCAGGGACAGGATGTGGGTCCCTTAGCAGGGCATCCCGGAATGACCTCTGCTGCCAGGTCTGTTCACTCCCCAGCTCACTCTTTCCATGGGGACTGGCCCCTCCTGGAGGACCAGAAACTCAACCAGTCAGGAGAGAGGAGGGAAAGCACTCACCCACTACGGACTGTGCTCTCTCCTGCTCAGAGTGGGGAAGACTCGCCACAAACTTTTCTTCAGCACCCACCCGGGAAGGGCAGTAAAAGGGGCTTCGAAAATTCAGTGGAAACATCGAATGAGAAGATCCTAGACGTTCCCCACCAGGTTTCTGAAGCTCCCTCATGGGTCTTCCTCTCAAACCAAACAACCAAGCAAGCAGCCACAGGGTCCGTGCTGACACCTCGTGACGCATGCGCGTCAGGATAGAACCGTGGTCTCGAGGGTCTGCATCGAGCGATGGTTTTCTTTCTGGAAGCGGATGCCTCTGGGTAGGCTTGATCCTCCAACCTTCCTGATAGTAGTCACCTGTACCTAGGGACACCGTAGTCTTCTTAGCGGCCCTTTGTTCTATTGAGAAGGAAAAAAAAGTTCACACTTAGGAAACCCAGTGAAGTACTAAAGCCACGCTAGTTCTTCTGGAGCCAGGCCACTGTTTTCCTCTCTGATTATTCTCTCTCAGCATGCATGTGGTGGCAAACTGTGCGGCCTCTCTGGGCATATGTTTTCACACAGTCACTTGCCCTTCACCCATCCCGCCCCACGCACCAGGCTCAGAACTGTCTGAGCACCGTGTGTGGTGGAGGTGAGGCCCCCACACCTGCAGGCATCCTGGGCTGGGTCCTTCCAGGCTCTTGCCAAGGCCAAGGTGAGTGTCCTCTGTGATGCTCTGGGGAAGGCAGAAAAGTCCAAAAAGTGCCAGGGTTTCTTCAGTCCTTG